TTTTAGTAATTGTATTTTTGTTTTTTTAATTTGTGTTTTTATTATTATTAATAATAATTTTTAATAATATTATAAAAATACTAATAAAATAATAATTTTAATTAATATTAATAAAATATATTTTTTATTTACATTTTAATTTAATGATTATATATGACAGTCAACACTGTATAGTACTATTTACAAACTGAAATATTAGCAAACTAATTTCTCAGTAAAACAGAATCTGTTTTCATTTCCCACCATCCATTTCCATGTATCTCCGTAGCTCCATCTCTAACATGCTCTGTTTGTCTTCCAGCTCCAGCTGTCGAGACCTTTGAAACACAAAACCAGAATCACACAAATATATTCTGCTGCTGTTAGCACAGCCTGTAATTTAGTTTCTGCATAGAGGATCCAACTGTGCACAATATATGCTAAACACATGCAAAGCGGTGGGTTAAATAAATGAGGCCAATCTACGCATTCATCTTAAGCATTAGTGCTCGTCAAAGACATGCAGAAGAGAGAGGTTGCCAGGGGCAACAAGACGACCAGCTGGCTTTCAGGGAGGCTTGAGGTTTTTCTTCAACACGTGCAAAAATAAATGATGCACTTTGAGCAATAACTGCTATTGAGCTTTTTATTGTTAACTGTATTACTGCTGATATGACTGCTTGGTTAAGAAAGCAAGATGTTTATTCATTTAACTCAACTACTGGCCGTTTATGGGGGTCACAGTGTTCAGACTTACGCCACCATGAGATCGGACTCCTCTGAGAGCAGACTGTTCTTCTCCTGGACCAGATCAATCCACTGATCAATCGTTTCTGGGTCTGAACCTATAACACACATACATCCACACGCAGTTATAACAAGATCTCTTTAATCTCAGTCGCCGCCACACTTTGACTTCTCTCAACCAACCTATAGTGCGTTCTGGGATGCTTATAAAGCAGTACTGAAGGAGTTCCCCTGCATGCAGGGCACAACGAAAGCTTTGAAATGGATTTAATTTAAAGAAATTCATATGCAAAGAAAAAAGAAATAAATAAAATACATTTAAGCATTAATTTGAAATATCAAGTCATTCATTCTTGTGCGAATATCTGATAAACATTTAAAAAAAAAAAAGAAAAAAAAAAAACACATTCATGTTCATTGAAACTGTCTGTTAAAAAAAATCTGTTGAATGTTGTTCTAATGTTAGACAGAAATATGTATTATTATATAATAAATAAATTATACACACACACAATACAATTTAATACAACAAAAACTTATTTGGCTTACTAACAGCACTAACAGCTAGACGACAACAACAATATTATATTTATAATAATTTTATATTCATTAATTATACATGAACCTTTTATGACTTCATATTAATTGACAGATGGATTATTTGTTAGTCATGTAATATGATGAATGAATTTGAAATGAATATTTACTGACTATATAAAGAAAATATAGTGATCATATAATGACAAGAAACTGTATTTCAATAACAATTATTATTATTTAAATTAAATTATTTAGAAATAAAAAATTCCATTCTAATTTATTATTAATATTTAAATTAATCAGACATTTATGTGCACTAATAGCTAGACTATAACAACAACAATTATTATTATTAGTGCACAGTCTAACAAATAAAATAAATTATTTAATATTAAATATGTCTGATTAATTTAAATTTAATATTAATAATAAATAATGAAATTATTTTTTTATTTCTAAATAATTATTCATTTCAGCAATCATTATTATTGAAATACAGAGTTTCTTGTCATATGTTATTTATTATTAGTATTGTTGTTGTTGTCATTGTTATTACACATTAAGCTTTATAACTTTATATTAATAGACAGATGGACTAAATGTAATTCAATCCAAATTTAATTGTTACATTTAGTGAAATATTGTAGCTCTGATAACATCTTCATTCAGATGAAGCTGTAAAAGTTTTATGCAAGCTTTTGCTTGCATATCAATTTCTTTACATTTATGTTTAACAGACGTCTCAGTGCTATCAGGGTTAATAAGTTCGAATGGTTTCAGTGAGAATTTAGCACACAGCCTGACTGCTGTAGAATCTGATGAAGTGAAATCATTAGCAGTGAATATGGTTTTCTGCAGATGGATGAGATGTCATACCAGCCTCTCCTCTCAAAGCTCTCTCCAGCTCCACTCCTTTCTCCTCCAGCTCTTTAAAGGTCACTTCTATCTCATCCAGACGTCTCTGAATTGTCTGTGGGGGCGGCAGAAGCAGGACAGGACACCAAATCAGAATGAAAGTCAGATACTTTTTATCTTGACAAATTAATACTGAGGTTTCTTTTATTGGTAACTACAATAGTTAACATTAACAATGAACGATACTTCTAAAGCATTTCCTAATCCTAGTTAATGTCATCATTTACTAACAGTCATTAAAATCAAAAGTTGCATCAGTTCAATTATTTAATGGAGCTGAGCCAACATGAACTAACAATGAACAGTTGTATGCTAATGTTAAGTAATGCATTAACTAATGTTAACTAATGGGACCCAACTGTAAAGTGTGACCCTTCAATTTAAACTACATATGTTTACAATTATGGGAAACAATCTACACTGCTGAGACAGTTTGAAGAATGTGATCTTGCTCACCTGAGCTTTGTGGAAGCTCTGGATTTCGCTCAGCTTTGCTTTCCGCTCCAGAGTTTTCATCCTCTTTAGATCTCGTTTCTCTGACTCCGAAATCTCAAAATCAGCCCCCTGAACACACGTAACACAAACCCAAGTCAACAACTTCCTAGAGAACAGGATTTCATCAGTCTACCAGAAAACATGATGACATGATCTAGTGTTTTTCCCACCAAAATAAAAGCCACAAATATTAATACTTATTTATTGTATTATTTTATATATATAGTAATTATCATATTGATCACATATATCATATAAATCACAAAATGTGATTTTGAAAATGTGCCTTATAAACAAGCATAGCAAAGGCTGAAATTTTTTAATGCATTTTAAATTCTAAATCCCAATCCCAATTTTTATCAAGGGAGAATATGAAAAGGAAAAAACTTCTTTCTCCCAAATCATGCAGCCTTTTTTTTCATGAAATGGCATGGTTTTATTCTGGGCAGTCATGCTCAAGTATCAGCAAAAATAACTGTATATTCCTCTTTGTTTGTAGAATTATGTTTGTAAAAAACTGTCATGCATAGAAATGTGGCTTCCTCATCCAAAATAAGCTACGGACCAAGGGTTAAAATCCTAATTTGAACATAATCTAACCTTGCAATCCAAATAATGGTCTTCTCCTTGAAGATCCTCTTCATCCTCCTCTTTGTCATCGTCAACACCTTCTTCATTATCATCTGATACATAATGATCTGGCTGAGATTGTCCTGATGAAAATCATAGCAAAATCAGCTACTAAAAAATTAAGCTTAACCTAGAGTTCAGTACTAAAAAGACACTTCATATTCAGTAATATTTTCGATTTGACTTTATTGACACTGACACAAAACTTTAACACTATTGTCTTCTGTAGAGCTGCTTTATAGCTGAATCAAATTCATAATTGACCTAAAAATGAAAAATCTGTAATCACTTTTATCACCACCCTTTAAGTGGTTCCAAACCTGTATGAGTTTCTTTCTTCTGTTGAACACAAAAAAGACATTCTAAACGATGTGGGTAACCAAACAGTTGCTGGTAGCCATTGACTTAAAAAAAAATAAATACTATGAAAGCCACCAGCAACGGTTTGGTTACCCACATTCTTCAAAATATCTTCTTTTATGATCAGCAGAAGAAAGAAACTCATACCAGTTTGGAACAGGATGACTTGAGGATGTGTAAATGATGACAGGATTTTCCCCTTTGGTTTTTTTTTTTTTTTTCCATCAAAGAACTACTCTTTTGATCAGTCTACCAGCTGGTGTTTTCAGCAGTTTTCCGCCAAAATTAGAGCTTGATGGTTTGAAAATGAAGAAATTAAGACCGTAATAATAAATATTAGTATTGTACTGTACAGCTGTACTGTAACTATTATTATTATTATTTATTATATTATTTTATTAAATACATTATTTTACAGTAAAATATAACAGTAGTAGTCATTTTGGTTAATATTTGGACAGTATAAATATTAGATGATGATAATAATAATAATAATAATACTTAAAAACAATTACAACAATGATGATAATAATATTAATAATAATATTTTTTTAAAATTATTAACCATGTTGATCGATTATCACAAGATTTTTGGACAAATTGTGCAACCTTACACACAATACTTTTAATTTAATTTTATTTATTTTTTTATTGACACTATTGTCTTTTTTAGAGCTGCTTTACAGCAGAATTTGAATTTGTCTCATATTTGAAGAAGTTTGCTATTTTAACAGAAGTCTTGTTATTTTCCTGTTTCTTACTCTGAAGCTCCTTTGAAGCAATCTGTATATTATAAAGCGCTTTATAAATCAACATGACTTGACTACAAAACATTGGGCTTCTAACCTGAAGGTGCGACTCTGAGGACACTGAAACGCTGCTGTAGTCGAGGTGAAGACAGATTCCATGGGGAAAACTTGGAGCGCATCTTTCCGTGTTGCGACTGTGTGGAAGGTGGCGGTTCGCTCTTCCTTCTCATGCAGCACCGGTTCCGCAAGCTCTTCCCGGTCGCAGTGCCTCCGCTCCAGTAGCCCTCCTCCTCACCTCCTTCGTGCTGCTTGGAGGAAGAGGAGGTGGAGGCAGCAGAAGACGAGGCGGGCGTCTCCGTGTCTGAATCCTGGCTGAGCAGCTCGGCCTTCTCCTCTTCGCTCAGCTGAAGTTTACGCAGGGACAGTTTGGATTTGGATTCCGGCGGGAGGTTGTAATGAGTTTCCTCTTGGTTCTGCTCTGATTCCTTGGGGGCATGTGAGGGTTGAGGCACCACGTTATGGACCGTACGAGGTTTTGGGAGCGGAGGGTACAGTGGAGCTTTGGACGCTCGCGGGGCCGGCACTGGAACGGATGCACTGCCGTTATTTTGTTGGTTCTTGATGCCTGTGCACTCCGGATTGAGCTCTGAGGGTTTGTTCGGTTCATGAGAGTTGGATGGCGGTTGGTCTTTTTGCTCTGTGGGAGTAAGACACTCAGCCAATTCTTCAAAGTCAGGGTCAACGGAGATCTTATACGAGCCCTTCCTTCTTACGGAGACGTGTGGAGGAGGAGATGAAATCTCCACGGGTTCACCATTTTGAGTTTTCTCCTTCTCATCCTCCTCATTAAGGCCATTTTCAACATGATTCTACAAAACCGAAAAACATTACATTACCGTGATATTTTGGAACAGATATTTTGTGCAGGTGCATGAACTGTGTCAAAATACAATTCATATGTATTACGGTTCAAAAGTTTGTGGTCGGTATGATTTTTAAATATTTTGAAAGAAGTTTCTTATGCTCATCAGGGCTGCATTTATTTTATAAAAAATACAATAAAAACAGTGAAATTGTTTTCTATGTGAATATATTAAAAAATTTAATTTATATTTGTGATGTAAAGCTGAATTTTCAGCATCATTACTCCAGTCTTCAGTGTCACATGATCCTTCAGAAATCATTCTCATATGCTGATTTGCTGCTCAAGAAACTTTTCTGATTATTATCAATGTTGAAAGTAGTTGTGCTGCTTCATATTTTTGTGGAAACATTTGTAATACACTTTTTTTAAGATTCGTTGATTAATCAAAAACAGTGCGAATATGAATAACTCATGACTCAAACATATACGGTTTACAACTAACTGTGAGACTTTAATTAATTAGGTTACTAAGTAATTAGGTTACTAAGTAATTAGGTTACTAAGTAATTAGGTTACTGTGTTTAATTAATTAGGTTACTGTGAGACTTTAATTAATTAGGTTACTAAGTAACCTAATTAATTAAAGTCTCACAGTTAGTTGTAAACCGTATATGTTTGAGTAATCTGTATATGTTTCTAAAAAAAATTGATTTTTTTTTAGAGTCAAGTATTGTCTTTCTTTTGCAGCAAGGAAGAAAATAAGAAAAACATCTGCGATTCCATGATTTATCCCATAGATTCCTATATAGCTCTATATAAAAGGCCTATCAATTCTCTAATTGTTTTTAGACATAAATACTTATTTTTATAAAGTTGTGGGTTTGGATATATTATTTAGACATTCTCAAAGACAACTTTTTTTAAAGGTTTTTTCATTGTAGTTGAATTATTGCTTTTATTTTACATATTTGCTGTGTTACAGTCACACCAGTTCATAGGTGTGTGTGTGTACGCGGATGTGTTGGTTTTGCACTCTTGATGTTTTAGAGTTTCCCCCATGTCATTACTGTGTACTTTCTTCTGCATGGTGTCAGATTTGTAGATTGTACACACAAAAATTCAGAGAATTTTTGTGTTTTTGTCGATTTCCCATTCATTTCCTCGAATCAAGCCCTCAATTTTTTTGTGTGTTCACATTCCAAATGCCATAAGTCACCAAGTTTCGTACCATTCCGATGAAGCTGTGATTTTTAAAAATTCAATACAGAAAATTTTTCGGTCAAAAGTGACCGAAGAGCACCAGAGGGTTAAGCATCCCTAAAGTTCATACTAATATGGGTCAACGGGCATTTAGTTATGCTACTCCATTTGATTGAAATCAACTACAAGATAAGTTATGCTTAAAAGAGTTGGTATCACTAAATGATTTTAAATGTATTTTAAAGGGGTCATATGATGCTGCTAAAAAGAACATTATTTTGTGTATTTGGTGTAATGAAATGTGTTTAT